CAGAAACAGGAACGGCTGGCGGAACTGGCTCGCAATCGACTGGGACTGCGGGCGTTACGGCCGGCGCTACCACTGGAACGACTACGGCCACCGGCACAGAAACGGGAACGACTAGCGGAACTGGCTCTCAATCGACTGGGACTGCGGGCGTTACGACCGGCGCTACCACTGGAACTGCGCAAGCTACGACGAGTGGGAGCACGAGTTCTGTATCGGTAGTCACGAGTACGAGTTCCCCAAGTCCTACGACCAGAACTTGTCCGACGCCATCGACATCGGAGGCGTGCGATTGTGAACAGCGGCCGTTCAAGCTGACGTTCCCACCCAGCGAGACTGCATCTTCGACTACGACTCCCTTCCCGGTGACGGCGACGGAAGATTGCGATCCGAACTAAATTTGTTTGAAATTCATAAACGTCTGATAATCTCTTCTAAAGACTGTTTTGGGTTCGGTGGCACCCTCGGGTGGATATGCTTTGTCATTCTTTCAGGCTCGTGGTACTCCAAAATTCGGTAAAGAAGGCGGTGAGGAATTTGGTGAAGACCCTTTAACCCTAGTTCTGACGTTATGGCCCTGAGGACGTCCGTTGGGACAAAGTTACGAACCAGTGGGCGCACAATTGACCGTTCTATCAGCCACAAGTTATCCTCCATGAGATCTGAGGGTGATGAGGATTGTGTGCGGTGAGGATGGCGTACTAGTCAGAGCGAACTCGGGATGGTCTTTTCGTTTATCGAAGAGGATATCCATGATGGGTCGTTTAGGGTGGGTTAAAGGAAAATATGCGCGTACTTCGGCATAGCTTTGGGGTAGATCCGTGCAGGGTCCGTGTTTGAGGCAGGATAAAAGTCGGTCGGGATCGTAATATTCTAACACTCTTTGGAACAGGGCGGTGGGAATATTGCAGCTGTCGAACTGCACTCGATCACGAATGAATTTGCGGAGCCAAAGGGATGTGATTTCGATGAATGTATCTTTCATTGTCCGACCGGACATGGTGAAGTGCCAATTATTTTGGCGTGCGAGTTCTGTAAGAAGACTGTGACTGTGACGACGGAGATTACTTTCTATGAGGAATTCCGGAGCGTTGAGTTCTAATATGATTTCGGTAATTGGTCTCTTCATCGGTGTATGGTTATATTGAGCGCAGACATCAGCGTAGCTGGTAGGTATCGGCGGGGGTCGTCTTGACCAGTCTGGACCACCGGTTGTGCGTGTGCTGAATCGGGAGGCCGGTATGATTCTGCTAACGGTGTCTTGATTTTGGTAGTGTCGTAAAGATTGGAACGCCTGGGTGACTGAAGGGTATTCCGCAGTTCCGCAGTCACTATTAGAATCATTGTCGGAACTCATACCTGAGCTTGCGGTCTTATGCCGTGAGCTTACAGTTGAGCTGGCGGAGGAATCATCAGAGCTTTGTGCCTCTGGACTCGCGTAGGGATCCCGCGGGCAGCTCACGACGTCTGAGTTGGTGTCTGAGTTGTCATCGCTGCTGCTGCTGCTGCTGGTGTCAGTCATATAAGCCCTGTAAATGGCGTGCAGACATTGGCGTGAGCGATAGGTGTAAGGAATCAGTGGCATGAGTAGCGACGCGCGTGTGTCTGGCTATGTGTTTGGGTAGGTTTTTCCCTTTAAATTTAGTTGAATGGCATGCATGGTGCTGTTTCGGGTCAAAAACAGCTGGTAAATAAAGGGTCACTTGATATCGATCGGCATCGTATCCAGGCAATCAAAAAGGAATTATCTACGATTAGGCAAATGACGTCCTCGAGTAAGAAGGGCTTTACAAAACAAATTGCGATTGACGTAGAAGATAATTTAGTGAAGCCACCGTTGTCGCCACATAGCGTCAACCTCGGACTATTGGTGTTTTTGACAGTTGCCTGGGTGTTTTCCTTTATACTGTCCGCGTCGACATTGACAAGTAGCGCATATGTTCGCTGGAAGACATACGATCTGCATAATAATGTAACTGCCGTTTCTTGCGTTCCGGATCCTATTAATGACTTTGCTATTATTCACATTGATTGTCCTATCAAGTCTAAGCACCCATTCAAACCGCCTTCTGAGTTCAGCAGTAACTTACCGGAGTTCGAAGGAGTATTTTATGACATGATGGTTGAAATGTATCAGGCACACTTCTCGCGGTTTTCTGTTGGCGGGAACGGAGAATGGTATGACCATCTCCTGGACGGAGGAACAATTGATTATTTTCCTGCAGTGCCCGGTTCCGGACGAAGTTTTGCACCTGATGTCTATGCTGGTGGCTTCAAGATCGACACTGAGAGCTTAAACGCTTTCCACGGGAAGAAGCAGCTGCCGTTGCATGACGACGGGGTCTACGACCCGTCCCCGCAGAGGCCGCCCCCAAAGATTTCTAATCGAAACACACGTGTGTACGAGAATACTTTGTATACAGGCGATCCCTTCAGGCCCCGACTCGGCGATGTTCGGATAACATTTTATGGGTCTGCTGCCACCCACGTGTCTCTAATTGGGGTACAGGAGCCGAGCTCCTACCTTTGGCAGTTTCTTCCGCACCGCCGAATAACCGGTTTCAGAGACGTCTTTGCTCCAGAGGGCATGGATGAGCACCATCTAATCATCCGTGAGGGCGACTACACTTCGGATGAGCTTATTCGAGCATACGAACGACAAAATAACGCATTCCATTCCATCCATTGGTGGTCTTTGGCAATTTTCGGATTCACCACAGCCTTGCTCGCGGTATGCGCACTACGGAAGTGGCGGCACAACAGCCAAGCCGCCAGACAGCCTCTGGTACTTACCGCACTCGTCGGCGTTCTCATTGCCCTCGGTACAGTCTTGTTCGTGGCCAGTGTACCGAACATGTTTGGTATGTGGTATCTTGGGGCGGTTCAGGCATTGGCCGGACTTCTGGTATTGGCCGCAGCCGGCTGGATGGATCAGCGAGCCACCGAAGGTTTGCAGTACCTTCCACTTCGACATGTTCCGGTCATGAAGCAATCATCCCAAACGAAACCGCAGTCAGCCTACGTCGCAATTTAGTTCAACCCGGCGGAGTCTGCACCTCCGGGCTACTTCGCAACAAAACACTTTGCTTTCTAGTTTTTGATGATGGTGCAAGGCACCCAATGAAGAATGTAAATTGGTTCGCGTTCATATGCTGTTTTTTTGCCTGCGGACTGAACACGACTGCGGTGTTCCTGCCGATGTGGCTCTACGTGAGACCGTTCCCCTTACCTTGCTGCCGCTCTGCCTCGCCAGACGCCCTCCTTTGCCCGCCCTTTGCTTGTCTGGGAGATCATTCCAGCCTGGCCTAGCCGAGCTAATAAGTGTGTGTTATGTAGAACGATCCGACTGACCGGTACACAGTACCTCGTCGGTGGGGGCTGTTGCGTGTGGTAGGGTACGAGTCGCGGACGCACAAGCAAACAATGGATGCGGCGTGTTCCGCAGCGTCGGAAGCAGCGGGCAGTGGCGCGTGTGTGGCAGGGGCGTGCCCTGCATTTCGCGACCGCTGTCACGCATGGCGCATCTTGATGTGGACGAGCTATGAAGTGGCGGCTGCCTTGGTCGTGGCTACGTGTTTGGCCGTCTTGTCGATGGTGGTGCAGCTTAGGGAGTCAGGGAAGACGTTAAAAATTGCAGCATCTACCTCGGGCGTCGGCTGCTTCATCACTGTCGCTTCCTGCGTGACCTACTTTGTCGCCGCACAAAGCGTCTTCCTCATGGTCAACACACACGAGTCCTATCCCGTGCCCACACTCTCAATGTCCTTCTACTTTGCAGAAGGAGCGGGCCTCCTCATCCTGTGTGCCTGCGCCTCACAAATTAGCAAATACAGAGCGAGATCCAGTGAAGCAGCGTTCACCGAAAATGTCCGAACACAAGTCAGGCAAGTCCGACAAGCCTATGGCTTCGGTTAAACCACCCTTCAACGACTAAGCTACGGCCGTGGCGGAATTTGGTCTCTACTTGAAGAGTTTTTTGAGACTGATATTTTTGAAAGCATCTCTTTGCATCACCTTACTGACCGCCATTTCGAAGTCTTCTTGAGTGACATGCACCCTTCTTTCCCGCAAGGCAAACATGCCTGCTTCTGTGCAGGTAGCCTTGACTTCTGCGCCGCTAGCGCCATGTAGTTCATTGGCAATCTTGACCAGGTCGATACCGCGCACCAAGTTCATTTTGCGTGAGTGGATTCGAAGGATATCCTTCCGCGCGTCGGCGTTTGGCGGTGGGAACTCGATCTTGCGGTCGATACGTCCGGGTCTGAGCAGAGCGTCATCGAGCACATCTATTCGATTAGTGCACATGATAATTTTTATGTTCTGTGTGGACTCGAAGCCGTCCAATTGGTTTAGCAACTCCATCATCGTCCGCTGGACCTCGCTGTCACCGCGGCCGTCTCCGGCGTCGCCTCTTTGGCTTCCGATAGAGTCAATTTCGTCCATGAAAATGATACTCGGTGCGTGCTCCCGTGCCATGACGAATAATTCCCTCACCATTCTCGACCCTTCTCCAATGTACTTCTGCACCAACTCGCTCCCCGACACTCGTATGAACGTGCAGTCCGTGTGGTGGGCCACTGCGCGCGCTAACAACGTCTTTCCCGTACCCGGAGGACCGTACAGCAACACACCTTTTGGCTGTGTAATCCCCAACGCCTCGAAAAGCTCCGGGTGGTTAATTGGCAACTCGATAACTTCCTTCACCTCCTTCACCTGCTCCTCCAAACCTCCCACCATGTCGTACGACGAGTCAGGAACCTTCTCAACCTTCATCAACGACACCAACGGATCAATCTTGGTCGGCAGTAACTTATGCAACTTGTACGAGTCATTTGCTAAAGCCACTCGGGTGTTCATCGTGCACTCAGTAATGTCAACACCTGGTGCTATATCCACAACATACTTGCCATCTGGATTCAACTACAATACAACCGACTACCCACATTACTGTACACACATCGTGTATACCCACACCATCGTGTGTATACCCACACCATCGTGTGTATACCCACACCATCGTGTGTATACCCACTCCA